GAGGGCCTGCGCGGCCCTGCACGCCTCAGATTGAGGCGTGCGCACGCCCTGGCGGAGGCGTGCATTTAGCCAGCCCCTATCAAATATGAATAATTTGAAAACTTAAAACTACTGAAAGATCTTTCATGGAGGTATTATTAAAAGTAGCAGTTTCATATGATGTATCTTTATCATTATACTTCATCTGGATACATCCATTGGTTTAGGAGAAAATGTTGTTTTAAGTTTTGAGGATTTTCATATTTGATACCCCCTAATCTATTATTAGTGTGAAACACTGATAATAATCTATTATTAATGTGAAACACTGATAATAGGGGGTATCAAATATGAATAATTTGAAATCCTAAAACTCCATTTTGTCCCAAACCACTCAAATAATTTGCATGGAGGTCGTATCAAAATCATCCATTTCACATGTCACATGATGTATCTTTATCATTACACTTCATCTGGATACACCCGTAGGTTTAGGAGAAAATTAAGTATTAAGTTTTGAGAAGTTTCATATTTGATACCCACTAATAATTTATTATTAGTGTGAAACACTGATAATAGGGGTATCAAATATCACCAAATTCACCATTATGCAATTAGGGGGTATCAAATATAACCAAATCCACCAATATTTAATTGACTGGTTTGAAAAAATCCACCCTTTTGTAAACATGCTGGTTATCCATTCAACCCCTTTTGGGGCCCACTGACGCAAAAAAAAGTTTTTGGAAAAGTGACTGGTTTCTAATGGTGGATTTCCTATATTTGATACCCCCTATTGACTTGTTTCCAAAAATCCACCATTTTGAAAACCTGTTAGTTATTCAACTATAAGCTTTTTCAACCCTTAGACAAACAATTTCACTTTTAACTAATCAACTGATTTCTAATTGTGGATTTGGTATATTTGATACCCTCTAATAGGGGGTATCAAATATGAGAAATCTGAAAACTTAAAACCTCAATTACTCCTGAAATAATCCAATTTTTTGGAATCTGTGTTTGTCTCAATTTGGAAGCCCAGGAAGTGCTCCATTTGAAAAACCTTCCATAAAATAAAATGGGTTGGTTTGTAAGATAACAAGGTTTTAAGATTCCATATTTTTCATATTTGATACCCCCTAATAGGGGGTATCAAATATGAAAATCCTCAAAACTTAAAACATAATTTTCTCCTAAACCAATGGATGTATCCAGATGAAGTGTAATGATAAAGATAAATCATATTCAACTTCCAATTTTAATAATACCTCCATGACAAATCTTTCAGTAGTTTAGGATAAAATGTAGTTTTAAGGTTTTAAATTCTTCATATTTGGTACCCCCTAATAGTCTATTATTAGTATGAAACACTGATAATGTCAGCTTGCTACTATGGCAGAGACAACCTGTCATAGCAAAATAAAATAATAAATTACATAAAAAATCTAAGAATAAAGTAAAAATATTACATAAGTAAAAGAAACAATATTACTTATGTAAATGATATAAAAACACTCAAAATAAATAAATAACTTAGAGAATATAAAGAAAACTTTAATTATTATTACAAATTCTGAATCTACATACAATTTAACCTAGGGTACCTCAGCCAAAGGTACCCCTATTTCCAACTCCTTCACCCCTCAAAACACCTTTGAATAATTAACTAGTGCCCTGTTATCACGGGTAATGAAATGTACTCAAGCACTATGCATATACTCCAAATCCAGTCATGGATTTGGAGTGTGGTTTATAGTTTAGAAGTTGGCGCACTGTGGCGTGTGCTATCTCCAAGCCCACGTGCCGCGTAGTTATGCTGCGCACAGTTAGCAAGCGCGCTTGACTACAATTGAGCCCAAAGCTCAAGCCCCCGCGCGTGCCAAGTATGCATACATACCTTGGATACATGCATAACCCCCCTGGGTTACCAGTATCCAAGGAAATGGGCCACAAAGCCCCAGAAACCCACTGTGCACGCGCCAACAAAGCCCCACACATGTAATAAAATTATAAACAAGATAGAATATTCATGAAAATACTACAGTAACTCTGAATATTCCATCTTCCACCTTGTAGCATGTGTAACAAGCCCCAGAAACCAGTTCTGGCACATTCTGTGGCCCATTTCCAAGGAAATGACACCACGTAACAGACTAGCCCTTGCCCATAGGTTCCCAAGGTATATTCTTAGTTCAAATAAACTCGTGCATGACCCCTTGGAGCTTCTAGAATGTTATCCCCAAGGTTTCAGCCCTTGTTACGTCACTATGTGGTCTGAAATGGGCCCAAAAGCGCGCTCAAGTCCTACTAAGCTCCCCTGGGCCACCCCTAAGGCTTGCCACAGGTATTTAAAGAGCCTCTGAACCGCCCAAATGATGATCCCCCAGCTTTATAATACCATATAGAAATTTACTTACCATTTTCAAGTCCTCTACACTTGTAATTAGCCTAGTTATTACTATTATTGCTGTTATTAAGCCTCAAAATTCCTCAAGAAACACCCCAGTTATCACCCAGCACCCAAAATCAACCTCTTTGAGCGCTTCCAACTGCCCAGTTTCTACCCTGAAGATCCTCAAGACCCTTTAGGATTATGACTAGTGAGTAATAACCCTTTCTTGAAGATTTTCCCCCTTAATTAAATCCTGGGAAAATAAACCACCCCTGTTTTCAGGCCCCAGGTACCAGGTACCTAAATCCTCTGCTTTTAGCACAATACCTTTGAGGGATCTAAACCACCCCTGATGCATCAGGCCCCTCTGGTTTTAATTTATATTAATTTTATTAATATAAATAAGCCATTTTTTACGCTACAAATCCTTTATTTTATTGGAATTTATTCCTCTAGAATTTTCTTGACTTTGCACCACGTTTAGCTAGAAGATTTCATATCTTGGCATCACGTAGGCTGACAGATAATAATTTATTATTAGTGTGAAAAATACTGCCAATAATCTATGATTAGTGTGAAACACTGATAATACTCTATTATTAGTGTGAAACACTGATAACAATGGTGGGCCAGCTACGCTAACCTTAGCGTTAGTGTAGCGAAAAACTGCTAACTTGTAGCGTAGTGTTAGCGGAAATTTATATTTCTACGCTAACACTACGCGCAAAGGACACCAGTGTGCATTAGAGTGGCGCTACAGGATACAGGCAGTAGCGGCAAGCTAACATAACACAAAAAAGAGCCCCTTTTTAAGTGGCCCTTTAGCGTATGTGCTAGCGTAGCGGCCCACCGTGACTGATAATACTCTATTATTAGTGTGAAACACTGATAATACTCTATTATTAGTGTGAAACACTGATAATACTCTATTATTAGTGTGAAACACTGATAATACTCTATTATTAGTGTGAAACACTGATAATACTCTATTATTAGTGTGAAACACTGATAATACTCTATTATTAGTGTGAAACACTGATAATACTCTATCATTAGTGTGAAACACTGATAATAATCCATTGTTAGTATGTAACACTCATAATAATCTGTTATTAATTTGGAGCACTGATAATAATCTATCATTCATTTGTAACACTGACAATAATACATCCTTAGTAGGGGGTATCAAATATGGCCAAATCCACCATTATGTAATTGACTGGTTTCCATAAACCCACCATTTTTAAAACCTGTTGTTTCTTTTCCCATCACCCTTTGAAGTTTATTCATGAAGAATTTTATTTTTTGCTAATTTTCTGGTTTCTAATTGTGGATTTGGCATATTTGATACCCCCCAGTATGTAACATTGATAATAATCTATTCCAAGTATGTAACACTGATAATAATCTATTATTAGTATGTAACACTGATAATAATCTATCATTATTGTTTAACAGTGATAATAGTTCATTAGGGGGTATCAACAAGTATGCAATTGACTGGTTTAAAAAAAATACATTCCAAAAACCTGCTGGTTATTTAACTATCAGCTTTTGAGAACCTCAGAAAAGAAATTCTATTTTTAACTAATCAACTGATTTCTAATTGTGTATTTGGTATATTTTTGGTACCCCCTATTATTAATGTGTAACACTGATAATAACCTATTCTTAGTATGTAACACTGATAATAATCTATCATTAGTGTGTTGTGTAACACTGAAAATAAACTATCATAGTATTTAACACTGATGATAAACTATCATCATGTCCATTCTTCTTTTTGCTTTTCCTAGCACCCATTTGCCGCATGGCCTTCAGATGAGCAGCATTGGGTCATGCAGCAAATGGGTAAGGGAAGAGGGAGGGGGAGGCGGTGTGTCTGGAACATTTCTAAGCCCCCCTCCGGCCCTTAGATTTGATACCGGGGGTTGATAACTGCAAGCCAACCCCCATCGCGCACGCCAATCCGCACGCCAAGCGCAGATTGGCGTGCGGGCCTGCACGCCAAAGAAGTTTGGCATGCGGGCAGGCACGCCACTCGCCTGCGGGGGGTATGCCCTGCAGGCTGGCGTGCAGGCCTGCACGCCAAAGAAGTTTGGCGTGCGGCCTCGCACGCCAAAGCATCTGCGGCCTAAACGCATATACATATGCGTTTAGGCCCCAGGCCAACCCATACGACCCATCCCTGGGTCGTATGGGTCGGCTTACTCATGTACAAAGTACGGTTTCCGATACGTAAACCTTTTTCCACCGTAGTTTTAGATAGCCGAACTGTTTTACCTCACGCACTGCCACTGCGCAATCACGCTTGGCATAAGACAAGTATAAACTATAAAGCCGAATGTCTAATATTTAACACTTGCGAAGCCTTATAGCATTCATCCGGCTGGGACCTGGGTGATTGCCCAAGGCATATCGTCGGTCCGTGTAAATCGCGCAGGCCCTCTCTACCTTCCAACAGCTTCTACCCGATTTACTTTATGCCTATGGGATTGTCAATCCTCATCTACGATGTCAAATTTGTCACATTTTCCTCTCCGTTCCGGAGTTGAATGTTACGGATAATCTTGTTTAATTGAAGGTAGACATTTCAATAGGAATGATTGGAAAGACTCTGAAAGCCCCCATGGCTGCGAAATCGCTTTGTTCAAGGGAGCTTTGTCCATCGGTGTTCGATGAGAAATCGTTTTTGATATCAAGATATAAAAGTGAACTGAACCTGTACGGATTCTCCCTGAACCTAATACAAGCTAATCCTTTTATTTCTCTTGGATGTATTTGTATACGTAAATCCATATTTGTAAGGCCGGGGTGTTTTTTTGTTCAGGTTCCATCTTCATTCCTCTTGATTGTGGTATAGCAATTGAAACTTTCTCTGCTGATTGATCCACCACCTCTACAAGGTTCGTTGCCATTCTCCTTAACGGGCCTCCTGATGCGCTGGGGGATTGCTGAAGCGCGTGCCCACTAAGTCCAGTCATGTCTCTGAGAACCCCGCGACCGTCAAGGCCGCTCTCTCTGCAGTCAATCCTGATGACCCCGTCGGGCAGGAAGCGCTCAGTCAGATGGATCACCTCGATGATGATAGGGCTGGTACGATCACATTAGGGTTAGTCCTCCGATCATCATCAAAACCTGATTGATTACCTTTTTCACTGATCGTCCTCAACACTAATTCCTTTGCTTTTGGGAAAACTATTACATTCTTCTTAGGGTCTCACACATCTTGAAGTTCTTGAGAGAGAATTCAGAGAAGGAGGAGCTTCGCCGACAGAAGAAAGAGCAGGAAAAGGCCGCTCAACCTCAGCCTGCTATCCCCGATGAAATGGAACAACGACGGGCAAAGATCGAGGAGTTGCAGTTGAGAAGAGAAGCGACTCTAGCGGAAGATAAAGCTAAACGTGAGTGACTCATTTTTGATCTCTTTTTTTTGTTTTCAAGGGGATTATTTACATTTTTATGTTAATGATACTGTTGGTTTTTTTTCATAGAAATGGAGGCGATGATGCAAGCAATGAGAAAACAAGCGATCGAACGTGACCGATTGTTGAAGAAGATCTTCGAGGAACTCGAGGCAAACAAGTCCAAGACTTCGGAACCCGAGAATGAAGAAGAGGAGTGCAAGAAACAATACAAAGAAGCAATGAGCGACGTGAATAATGTGTTGACTAATGTCGAGAGTGGGGTGATGGCTCATCTGGTGAAAAAGTGGGTGAGTTGAGGGAACAGAAGCAGCAGATTCAAGCCGACATCGCCGACATGTTATTGTACATGAGTAAGCCGGCCCATACGACCCAGGGATGGGTCGTATGGGTCGGCCTGGGGCATAAACGCATATGTATATGCGTTTAGGCCGCAGATGCTTTGGCGTGCGAGGCCGCACGCCAAACTTCTTTGGCGTGCAGGCCTGCACGCCAACCTGCAGGGCATACCCCCCGCAGGCGAGTGGCGTGCCTGCCCGCACGCCAAACTTCTTTGGCGTACAGGCCCGCACGCCAATCTGCGCTTGGCGTGCGGATTGGCGTGCGCGATGGGGGTTGGCTTGCGGTTATCAACCCCCTTTGATACCCCCTAATAAGGGGTATCTAATATGGCAAAATCTACCATCATTTAATTGACAGTGTAAGACTCAAAAAGTTCTTGAAAAAGCATTTTTGCTGAATGGAGAAGGGGATGGTGGAGGTTCAAGCTCTGCCCTTCTATACTATCAGAAACAAGACCCAACAAGCTCACCTTGGCAATTGAATGTAGTGACAGGGGGTAGGTTTAAAGATGAATTTGTTTGAGGTAACAAGTAACAGGTATGTGGCAGGTAATGATTTTGAAATTCAAGAGTAAATTAACCACAGATGTTTAAGTTAATTTACAGGAGCAAGTGAGATTGTGAGGCTATGTAACTATAGGTATATATAATTTATAAGGACGTCTGAGTGTAAAGTGAACTGATCATTCTTTGTGTTGTATTAAGCTGTGTATGTCAAATGGGAGTTTTCATTTGGGCGCATGAGTGCCTACCACAATGGGTTTTCAAAAACACACCATTTTGATAGCTTGTTGGCTCTTCACCTATCATCTGTGGGGACCCATCCATTAAGAATTTGATTTTAAGCTAATTGTATGGTTTCTGATTTTGGATTTGGTATATTTGATACCCCCTAATAAACTGAAAAACTCATAATTATAAATTGTAACACGGATAATCAATTGTAACATTGAGAATAAACTTCAACTCTGATAATAAGATTTAATCATCATGATATACCCTCTGGAGAGTAGTGGGATGAGTTCCATGTAGCAGTGGTCAATTACCAGCATCCCTGTCAGCAACGGTGCAACAGAGGCAAGACAATACGTGTATCACCCAATACTGAGTGTTGTCTCAGAATTTGAATACCCAAATATACTGTATTTGTGTTGTCTCACTTTCCTGAGACAATATACACGTATTGTCTTTGGATAGTGAGAAAGTATTCTGTATTGTCTCAGATGACTGATCCCACCAAAAAATTATTTGATACACAAGATATTGGGCCGTATTGAAGAAAAAAACAAAGACAATTTTTTTCATTTGTAAATCCAAATACGAGACAATGGATTTTCTCACCAACAAAAGAAATACTGATACCAGTATCAGGCTCAAAATAAAGACAATACGATCCGATACCAATACCTGTCTCATATCTGTTGCACCGTTGCTGTCAGGCTCAGTGATGCCAAGGGATAACACTTTTAAGATACACTAGCTGCAAGAATGTAAGAAGGGTGAGTGCGTGTGGAAAACAAAAGTAAGGGGTAATAAAATGTGGTACATTTAAAAGAAAAGAAATAATAAAACAATAATGTTTTTATTACAGAGTTAAAACTGACAAAATATGTGAAAGGGGGATTTAAATGCAATAGTCTGCTAGGTCAGAAACTAATGTGGGAGCGCTCAAAACGTTAACTGGTAAGTGTGGTTGGAGTGCTGGTATCAGTTGAGGAGGGTTGATTGGTGAAGTTCAGGCAAAAACTGTCAGCCACATAGTACATATCACAGCACCTTTCATGTACCAAGTATCTGCAACACCTGTACATATTTACATATGTACTTATCAATAATATTGATTCACCTTTCTCTTGTTATCTTATCACTATTTTATCTCATTATATTTTATCTTATTCATATTCATCTTATTATCATTAATTACATATGAACTCAAAATATTATCTTATCTGTTAATTACTTATCTATTAAATACATATCTGTTTTATACATAAGTAATTATCACTTATATTTCACTCATTTATCTGTGAAATACATGTACCACAAGTTGTCCTTGCTCTGCAGTATTTTCACGGTTAAAGTATTCATTTAATAAAAAGATACATGCACTGATTGTTATTTATCAATTACACATTGAATTAATATAATCAATACAAGTACTGATCTTAATAATGACCTCATTCAGCGGTGGGCCGCTACGCTACACTACGCTACGGGCCCATGTAGCGTTAGCGTAGCGGCGCCATTTTTTTTTTTTTTCGCGTAGTGTTAGCGCGCCGCTACGGCCGCTGCGCTACGCTAATTCGTAGCGGCGCTAACACTCGCCAATTTTTGGTGTAGTGTTAGCGCGCCTCTGGCGCCGCTACGCTGCGTTACGCTACGCTACAGCGTTTTTAGCGGCAAAAAACGCCTAAAAACCGCTAAAAACTGCTGTAGCGCAGCGTAGCGGGCGGTTTTTTGCGCCCTGCGCGCGTAGCGTTAGCGCAGATGGGGGGAATCGCGCTAACGCTACACTAAACGCTAGCGCAAGTTTTTTCCCCATGCGCGTAGCGTTAGCGCGGAAAATGAGAAAACCGCTAACGCTACGCTAAAATGTAGCGGTTTTTCGCTACACTACGCTACGCTAACGCTACGGTTAGCGTAGCTGGCCCACCGTTGCCTCATTATTTATTGTGTGATCTTAATAATGACCTCATTATTATTTGTCCTTGTCTCTTGCCTTGTCACAGTCAAGATCCATTACAAATAAAGTGTACATGTACTGTTTTTTTATTATTTGTTTACCAATTGAATTAATACAATAAATACATGTACTGATAATTAGTGTCATTTTATTTTAAAGGATCTGTTAGTTTGTACACGTCACAGCCACTAGTAATTGATCCACTAGTCACACTATGACATCACTAACAGATCATTGCAAATAAAGATCAGTTACTCAATTAACCCTGCTCTTTCCTCTGGTACCTGTACCCGTGATTCAGAACACTTCCTCTTTCCCTCCTTCAATATTCTGGAGCTTATAATCCGTGCCTCTTTCACTGATTAATCACCAGAATATTCAGACACCAGTTAAACATAGTTGACATTTATATTGATAATTATTACAACACACGTAGCCAAAATAAATCAAGCATATTCTTATTGTTCTTAAGCTACAGTACTACTTAACTTATCCACAATATTCATAGCCTTGCTGAATATTCTTCCTACAATATTTATTAAACTTCAACTAATTTTGTTAAAGCTTAATAAGTATTGTTAGCCCATTCCCTTTTGGGAATAACTAATCCCAGGTGAGTCTTAGTACCCTGGATGCCTATTAATACCTAGTATTGATCCGGATGCGCTGTTGATAGCAAGCCTCTCAGTAAAGACCATACTGATTGAGTGAAACCTCCTCTTTACAGGACTGGTATTAAACACCCACTAACTACTACTCACCACGCTCAAAACTTCAGTCAACACTCATAGTAACAACCTTTTCCAATAAATACCTCAGGTTAGTTACACAGAGGCTGACAAAAACAGCAAGTAACAGGCAATAAACTAGTAATATAACTGGTTGAATGGCAGTGGTAAAAGTTGGTAAATGTAAATTAAGATGGGGAATAATAATTAGGGTGACAGAAGGGCTCCTTATATATTGTTTATAGCCCCTTTTGGGTGCTCTCAAGGCTTCAGTTTATCCTGTGAGTGCTCTTAACCAGGCACCGTAGTACTGTAGGCCTGGCTTAAGCCTTTTATTGGTTTTTCCTGGGGAACTGGTAATTATACAGGCTTGTAAAATGCTCAGTCATCTGGGAAGAGGAGCTCAGAAGCCCTCTGTATTTTTCTTACAGCCTCTTGTGGCTTGGGGCTATGCTTCCTGGGTGCATAGCAGTACCAATTGGGCCAAAATGGGCCACAAGGAGCATGGGAATGCCACAGAAATTGTGTTACAGGTACATAATCAAGGTTCTTTTGTCTTGAAATTTGATATTAAGCTCATGAAGAAATTATAGAACCTTAATTACATGTGTATCTTATGTGTAACACATGGATTGATGTCCTTGGGCGGTCTCTAGGCCTATTTTCAAGTTGGTTACACGCGTGCTTTGACTCACAGAGTTCCAATATAGAGCTATCTCAGAAAGTTTCCACTGCACTGCATTTCTGAGCAAACTGGGTGCCTGTGTAGTACTACACGCAGTACATGTCATTCTTTGAAACCTGGATTACATAAACATGGAGTTGGAAATCAAGGGTACCTTGAGTGAGGTACCCTAGGTTATTCTTAGCTCTGATTCAGAATATGAAATAATATTCTACCTTTTTCATTGAGGTATCATCAAAAGTAGCATTTTCATATGATGTATCTTTATCATTGAACTTCATCTGGATACATCCATTGGTTTAGGAGAAAATGATGTTTTAAGTTTTGAGAATTTTCATATTTGATGCCCCCTATTATTATTTAACAATAATAGAAAAGGTTAAAGAATTAGCAGAAAAGTATTTTCTTGAAATATATTATATAAATGAATGATTGATAATAGGGGTTATCAAATATATGAAATCCCCCACTTGAAACCAGTCAATTATCCAAAAATATTTTTTTTCACCAATGTGTCCCCAAAGGTGCAAGATGAAGTACCAGCATGTTCAAAAAATGGTGGTTTTTTCAAAACCAGTCAGTTAAATGATGGTGGATTTGCCTATATTTGATACCCCCTAATCTCATTGTTAAATAAGATTATGGAAGATAACAAAAATTGTAGTCTTCTGGACAGTGTATACTTTGTCCAAGTCTAACACATTATTATTAGTATGAATGATGCAAAAGGCACAATTATTAGTACTGATATAATAGTGCCTAAAGCACCATTTTTAGTATTAATATTGCTCTATCAAAGTTGATCAACCCACACTTTCACCAAAACCAGGAGCATGGTTTTGGCCCCAGTTTCATTGCTTTGGAAAGGTCAGTGAAGAAAACAGATAAAATATGATTTTTGATTCATTGAAATAGGTGTTGAAGGTTGATCAGTACCCCTCCAAAACCCTTTTGGAGGGGTCAGTACCCCTCCAAAACCCTTTTGGAGGGGTC